TCTTTCTCTTTCTATTGGAGAGGTGTCCACTAATGCCACATGAAAACTCCATGTTGATGACAGCAGAGCTTCTGCCAGCCTCATTTTCCAAATGACTGCATACAGCAGAGGTTCCCTGCGATAAGAATCTGGCCCTGGGCTGATATATGAATGAGAAATAAGCTTCTACTATATGTAAGCCATTATGTGTTTGGATCTATTTATTATAGCACTTTAGCATTTGAAGGGTGGCAGAATAGGCCGCCCCAAAATATGCTACTTTGGCTTAAGGATTATTTTGAAGTAGAAGCACTTGAAAAACAGCAGATGCGAGAAAAGCACTCTGACCTCCCCTTTTCTTCCTGACAGCAGGAGCTAAAACTATAACGTAAAAGATGCCCTACCTATACCCGGAGGAAAGGAATATTCTTAGCAGCAGAGACCGGAGTCAAGGCTGAGTGAAATCTGTAAAAACAGGCCTCATTAAAATAAAGTAACTCTTATCTTCCTTTAGTCTCTCCGTATATATTAGTTACTTTTCCAGAACTGCTTCTCTTTGTTCAACCCAGTTTAGAAACACATATGCCTAGCCACGGTGTTCACTTTCCTCTGGAGGTTCCCGCATACATGTAAAACTCCATGCTTTTCTCATGTTACTCTATCTCATGTCGATTTAATTCTCAGGCCCAGCCACAGACCCTAAGAGAGTAGAGGTAAAGTTTGGCCTCCCCCACAGGATATCCCGATGACTACATCCTCCGTACTTTAAAATTACAGGCTCTTACTAACATCACCTAGGAGTTCAGATACCTTAACTTCATTCTGTACTTTTCACTTTGTCAAAGGTGCTTTCACATGTATTACCGCTTAGGAGTCTTATAACAACCTTTGAAAAACAGTAACTCTGAAAATATATATACATGTTGTTGTTGTTTTTTTTAAATAGTACTGCTATAAGATAACTTGAAAAGTCACAATTTAAAATAAGAGAAATAAACATATAGTTNGTTTAAAGTGGGGGAAAAACCAAAGAGAACATCTGGTTCAAAGCACCTAGCATGCCTGTGATGATGATCTTGAATTCTGCAGGCTCCTACGTTTAAAAGAGAAAGGCTGCCACATTTCATTGTTAACTGGACTCCAGCTTTCTGGGAGAAGTTGTTTGCCACAGTCCCTTAGCCTACATTTAACTTTCCAAGTTCCATCTGCAATTTCAATCATTTAATAATTACTGTAGCAGCACTGTCTTTGAATACCCAAAGGAATTTTGATTACATTAGGCATTGCCAAATGACTAAAATAAAAGGATTTTTCAAGCAGAGTTGGGTTCCCCTCCACCACCCCACCACCCCCGCCCTTTGTTTTTATGGCTATTGGGATGTCACTAGGAAACATAACACTCCAAGCTATCTCTTGGTGCTTAGAGGTAGCAGCTTTCCAGGAGCGGGCCCAACTGCCTGCCCCAGGGTGGCTCTCGCTCTGGGTTGTTCAAGGCTGCTGTGTGCTCCATGTTGATGGATGGATCCCCCCCTTACCTCTCAGTTGTTCCTGGTCAGCGACATCACACTGGATGAAAAGAGTCTTCTGAGGTTCAAACTGTTCACCCAGGGCAGCTTTACACTTCATACCTGCTTCCAGATTCCAGTCTACCAGCGCTACCTGTAGACAGAGGAGAGAAGTCCAGGTCCTGCACAGCTCGCGAACCAGACACACAGACGAAGAGTAAAATAAACAATAGGACGCTCCTCTTTGGGACCTGACATTCGGCAATTAAAGTTCAGGTTCTCTCCCAGCCACTTCTGAGGTCTGCTCGTGAGCATCAGCCTCCGCAGCTTTTGGAAGTGGCAAGGTGGGCACTTGGGGCGCAGCGTCTCTGTCTCCCCGGGAGCCCCTGGGGTTTGGCGAGGGGGTGGCTGGGGGAGCGGCGAGTCTCGGGGTGAGCAGACAAGTTTCCGCCGCCGGACGCCGCTCTTACCTTGGCGCCTTTGTGCAGTAGCGCCTCTGCAACGGCTCTGCCGATGCCCTGCGCTGCGCCGGTCACCAGCGCCACTTTGCCGTTCACGTGCATGGTGTGGCCTCAGCTCGGGCGGTGGGCAAGCTCGGCGTCTCCGCGCCGCCGCAGCTTTTATGTTCCCCTGCGCGCGCGTGCACCCCGGCGGGGCGCTCTCCAGCGAGTGGGCGGGGATGAAACTGTCAAGCCAACGCCGGGGCACCCAAGGCTGTGTCACCTGGCCCCGAGCGCTCCCAGGAGCCAAGCTGCGCGATCTTTGCCTTCCTGACTCGCAGCCAATCCAGGTCACTGCCTCCGGTCAACCTCTGGCTAAGTTACTGGCGTTGAGCTGGCAGGAAAAGCAGAAAGGTTCTTTCTAAAACCGATTTCCTTCAGTGCGCTGAAGACCACCCGGCTAAAAGGAAGGCAGAGGAGAGGCTTGGGAGNAAGCACTATCTTCAAGATATTGTGCTGATTACTGAGAGGGGAACAAAACTAGAACATAACACAGTTCTTGTTTTTAAGGAGTTTATAATCTCTTACAGAGATATCACGAAGTCTCCCTGTATGTTTATATACACACTGTGGCCCCTCTGTCCTTTACCTATGCCTGCTTTCCAAGTGAGAATGACCATACCAAGGGCAGGGTGACCCCATGCACAGCTCAGCCTGCACATTTTACTTTAGCTAAGGTTTGGGTTTTAAGAAAACCCAATATCTTATGTCAAGTGTGTTTATAACATGGGACAACCAACAAACTTATGATATAATGGATAACACAGAAATTTTATTTCCTAGTTCTTCATTTTATAATTTAAATAAGAGCTAAATAGTCATCAACATTGTGGAAATCACACACACACAGTGACTTTCAGAATAAAAATCTTAATAAATACACAGTCCAAAAATCACTTTAGCCTTGTTTTCTGTTATATTCCTGGAATTAAATTAAAATTTATTTCTAAAATAAGTTAGGCCAGGGTTGGCAATTTTTTTGTCAGGATGGTGAATACTTGACACATTATAGGATCTCTGCCACAATTATTCAGTTCCACTGTTGTAGCATAAAAGTAGCCAGAGACAATATGTAAATGAACGACTATAGCTGTCATTCTTTTTACACTTCTTTTTACTTTTCTTCAACCGTTTAAAAATCTAAAACCCATTTTTAGCTTGTGGTCATACAAAATCAGATGGCAAGCTAGTATGGCCTATGGGACATAGTTTGCCAACTCCTAAATTATGTAAAAACTATGTTCTTTTTCATATTTCCTTTTAATATTTTAAGACAGATTAATTTTCATAATTAAAAGTCTCAAATGTCTTCCTATTTGTAAAAAGAAATGCTTTTTTTCCTAGTTTTCTGTAACTTCTCTCTTTCTATATTAAAGGTTATTGTATTATTTCCATGAATATAAGAACTGTTTTTCCTTTAAAAACATCATATTATTAAATAATTGTAGGCAATAAACATGGCTAAGATAGCTTACCAAATTAATCTGCAGCGTTTTTTCCCAGTTTTTCTCATTATTCACTCCAGCATTATTGACCAAAATGTCTAGTCTTCCAAAGTGGTCTACAACTTTTCTGAAAGTATCTAATTAAAAAAAGAGAGACATTATAGAATTGTTCTTACTTTCCACATGTACATTTAAGTTCTATCCTATGCCATGAAATGAATATTTATTTATCCACGCTGATAGTGAAAATTACACTCTTCGAGTATCACTGAATGCCTTGCTCCTCAAAGCAGGGTTTGTGAGCAAGTAACATCATCAGCAGTACCTGAGAACTTGTAAGAAAGGCAGAACTGTGACCACCACAGACCTACTGAATCAGAATCTTAACTTTAGTAAGGTCCACAGATGATTTGTATGAACACTAAAGTTTTACAAGCAGTGATTTAATGGAATAAATTTTAGAGAACTGAACCTCCTAAGCTAAGAGCTCTTGGAAGTCAGTTGGGCAGCCAGCATCTCTCTGTCCCTAAGAAGTTATTGCAGTTCTGTGGCTTAGACTAGGACAAATATCCTTTTCTTAATGTCATATTATCTTCATAAAGTGTTATATTAAACACAAGTCTTCATGTGTTTTCAGATCCATTATGATCACCTCAGGGAGTTTTGCTATCCTAGTAAGTAAAATCAACTTTTCATTCAGTTGATTTTATTTGATCGCTGTAACTTCAATGTTGACTATTTCATCCTTTTCTCTTCCTATTGTTACTACTTGGTATTACTAGTTTGTAGAAAAACTATGTTCAACCAAGGTAAAGTTTGCATAGATTCTGAGGCCCGAAGGTCACTTTTTCCATTGTCCAACCACATATCCAGTCCTGGCAAACCCTCCTAAGGCAGTTCATACTAGGCTTTTTACTACTTTTGTATTGAGAAACACATTTTTTCTCAAAGTTGACTTTTACATAGTTCTATTAATTTAAATTGTCCCCCCTGACCTTTTACCATTGGTTCTCCCATAGTTCTATTACTTGATGTATAGATAACAATTGTGAGTGCCCTTCCAAATAACACATAGGTTTTCTCAGGTCTCGGGAGCCAACATGTGAATTCCTTGAAAAAAAAGTACATTCACACAAACTTTACTTTGATTGAAATAAAATCATGGAATTTTAACAACTACCAGACATATTGAGGAGGCCATGGATTAACCAGTTCCCAAATAGATAAATTATTATGCAAGTTAGTTGTCAAAAATAGTGGCAAGATTTTCTAATATGTGCCCTTTACAGTACCCTGTACCATACTGGAATGGAAAGCAACACAATACTTTTTCACAGAAGTTTTTAAATGCTTCTGAAGATCTCAAACTGATTCCAGAAAAGGTCCTCCAGTAGAAAACATCTAAGGAATAAATTTTTTTTTCCATTCCATCTCAAGAATGTCCTACTCTTCAGAACTCCACATTTACATGATAGGAAATTAGGTTGTTAAATATGTATATCTAACAGCTTCTTTAATTTCCTTATTTTGATCTCCACTGCATTCCTTAGATTCTTCTCTTACCAATGTGAAATACACCACCTTCTTTCTGACATACCACTGAATTTGGGGTTCAAGCAATTTACAACCTAGCTCTTGCTGGCATATATCCGTGGTATTCTTTATAATTTACCTAAACCCTCCATGTTGCACTTTTTTCATTTGTAAATTGAGTTATGTCTAGGTCATCTCCAAGAACATTTTCACCTCTGGGTTTTTATGATTTCCATGAAGTCTCCCTTGGTCACAGTCTAAACTGTTTCAAAAGTTGTAGCCAACATTAAATTCTGAAATTGGAAGAGTCAATGCCATGTTTTCCATAAGTGCAAATAAATGCTGATGTCCAGACAACATGTGGATTTCTCATGACCACATGCCTTCTCCTGGTCACTCATTATATGTCTGAGTGTCCTCCTCCACAATCACTTATCCTTAAGGAATGTGTTTACAGCCAAGGCACTAATTTTAAATACAGTAAAAGTAAAACAATTAAGGTTAAATGTCACATGTGAAACTATATAAATTCAGACAGAAATAGCTTCCAGATGATCTATACTGTTTCCTATTCCATCGGCATGGAAACTGGGATTTCATATGCCTCTGTTCTTGATCCAAGATATCACATGCAATCAACAAAACTATCCTCTGGCAAAATATATTCCACCAGCATTGTCTACAGATCTCTTCTACTCATGTTTGTAATCCATGTTGTAGATCTTTATTAGCATGTCCAGATTCTAATTACATATCTTCCTTTAAAGCAATTTTCCTTAACTGTAGGGGAACATTCCCTCCTTAACCTGCCGCTTCATTTTAGGTCTGTTACATAATATCCCAACAGTTTCAAAGAAAGTCACACTTTGTGCTCCTTTAAGACCAGGGGTACTAGAATGATTTTATGGAAGTTTTTTATGTGTAAATATGTACCTAACAATTACTTGGTCTTTCAATAAAACTTTGTGAGATATAAATATTTTATTTTTCTATTTTTTTCCTAGAAAAAAAA